AAATATGACATTGTTGCTTCATCTAGTGGTTTGGGATTGAAATATCATATTTGATTGTAACAATATCATCCTAGAAATAATATTTTTTGGTCAAAGAAAGATAAGACAGATTTGAACTTTTGCCTTTGATAATTTAATGTAGCATAAGTTATACGTCATCACTCTACATACTTGATACTTCCCCCCTTTAAATATGGCCCCCACATTAATATATCTGTAATTTTCCCCAACTTATGGCCTTTTTTGCTTCCTTCAAACATTGGTTCTATCACCTATGTATTTTTTTATGAAGTCATTGATGAAGTTTATCCATTTTAGGATGATGATGAAGTTTGAGGGGTAGTGTATATATATATAAATAAAAAAAAATAACTTGATAAAAAAAAAATGTAGGTAAAAATAAAAAATACATATTTTTATAATAAGTTTTTTTAATTAATTTTTTTTTTTTAAAAACGTATTTTGGTAATACGTTTTAAAATAATATTTGTAAAATGTTATTTTTTTAAACAATTGAAAAAACAGTATAAAACGTATTTCAATAATACGTTTGAAAAAAAAAATTAAAATAAATTAATAAATAAAACGTATTTTGATAATAGGTTTTATATATAATTAAGAAATAAAATGTATTACCAAATTCGTTTTATAAATAATTAAGAAATAAAACGTATTACAATAATACGTTTTATATTTTAAAATTAATAAAAAAAATTAATATGTAGTACGTATTTTGTGTTTTGAGCTTGTTTGGGCTCATCTGAACTCGGAATTGAGTTCCATTTTTTTCTATACGTAGCTAACGAACCCCTCTATTCAATGATACTTGTATGGCCAAATTATTCTTGAAATCATATTCTAAAAAAAGTCTTGACCCTACATTAAACGTGTTTCGCGCAACTTTGCCTTTTGGGCCCGTTCGGACTCGTCCAAGCTCGAAATTGATTTCCGCTTCTTCCTATATGTCGCCAATGAACCCTTCTACACAACCATGATTGTCAGGTCAATTTTTGGGCTAAATCTATTTCTCATGGGCTAAATAATTAACAAATCACCCATTATATAAATAGATGGTCCATGGAGGATTTGTTAATGGGTGATTTGTTAATTATTTATCCCCGTGAGGAATCGGTTTAACCCGAAAATTGACCGGGCAATCATGGTTGTGTAGAGGGGTTCATTGGCGACATATAGGAAGAAAGGAAACTCAACTACGAGCTTGGACGAGTTCGAACGGGCCCAAAAAATAAAGTCGCGCGAAACAAGTTTAATGTGTAGGTCAAGAGCTTTAAGAAAATATGATTTCAAGAATAATTTGGTCATGCATGCATCATTGAATAGAGGGTTTCGTTAGCTACGTATAGGAAAAAAACGTAACTCAATTCCGAGCTTAGAAGAGTCCGAACGGGCCTTGTTGTCGTTTGCGGTCACGGCATCTTCTACCTCCACCAATGTTGGCAGTGGGTTGATGCCTCGCTCTGTGTGACTGTGTACTGTAGGATGGGACGTAGTCCTCATCGGATATAACTTGACTGAACGACGCCCCTTATGTGACTTCTGGGCCTCCAACAGTCAGAGAACTGTTACTCTCTCGGATGAGTGCACAGGAGATCAACTTATTTGGATGTATATGGGATGGATCTTCTGTTGGAACATACGTGAAGTCCACTTGTCTGATAAGGTTCTCCGTCAGTTAGGGTGTCAGCAGTTCATCCCCCAAAATTCGATGATTAGGGGTGAACAAGAATGGGAGACACACCACAGAGGCCGTGGAATGACAGGGAGGACATTTGGTGATCGAGTCGCCTTTCATTCACAGCTTACCAAGGGATGAGTCGATGAAAGAGAACAAAATGTCCTCCAAGATGCCCCTGTGGATCACTTCCAACAGGCTGAGTAGGGTTACATTGATTGGTTTTACATTAGGACTGTGAGACTTATCAGTGACCCTACCAAGTACACAGTGGTCAAACAGGACGTTGGCTATCAGACAGTTGTTGAGCTGGAGAAGTGCGATGTAAGTGTTCATAATTTGTGGTTTTTTTTATTATTTTTTTGTGTGTGTTTCATTTTTTTTTTTTGGTGTTTCATACTAATTACTTTGAATTTTATTTTCAGACTCAAGCCCTGGAGGGGGTTTATAACTCGTTAGCGAATATTCAAGACATATTTCCTACACTCCCTTCACGGGCGCAGACCGCATTCCAACAGTTATACAACATTGCTATAGTTATCTGACCAACAATCCTACAACATTGCCTATAGTTATCTGACTGTTAAAGGCCAAGAGGTCACACAAGGAGTGTCGCTCAGTCAAGTTCTATCCGAGGAGGACTACGTCTCATCCCAGAGTACACAGTCATACAGGGCGAGGATGTCGTGACCGCGAACGACAACAATGCCCGTTCAGACTCGTCAAAGCTCGGAATTGAGCTCCGTTTTTTCCTATACGTAGCTAACGAACCCCTCTATTCAATGATGCATGCATGATCAAATTATTCTTGAAATTATATTCTCCCAAAGCTCTTGACCTACACATTAAACGTGTTTTGCGCGACTTTGCTTTTTAGGCCCGTTCGGACTCGTCCAAACTCGAAATTGATTTTCGCTTCTTCCTGCATGTCGCCAACGAACTCATATACACAACCATGATTGTTCGGTCAATTTTTGGGTTAAATCTATTCCTCAAGGGGCTAAATAATTAACAAATCATCTATTAACAAATCCTCCGTGGACCATTTATTTATATAATGGGTGATTTGTTAATTATTTAGCTCATGAGGAATAGATTTAGCCCGAAAATTGACAGGACAATCATGGTTGTGTAGATGGGTTCGTTGGCGACATATAAGAAGAAGCGAAAATCAATTTCGAGCTTAGACGAGTCCGAACGGGCCCAGAAAGGAAAGTCGCGCGAAACACGTTTAATGTGTAGGTCGAAAGCTTTTGGAGAATATGATTTCGAGAATATTTTGGTCATGAATGCATCATTAAATAGAGGATTTCGTTAGCTATATATAGAAAAAAACGAAACTCAATTTCAAATTCGGATGAAGTCAAACGAGCCCAAAACACGAAACACATACTATATATTAATAGAACTAAAGAGAACGGGTTTAACTTATCCCAATCCTCGCTCTGGACCAAGGTGCGTAGCATTTTTTTATTCATTGATTTTAAAATTTTAAACGTATTACGTTTACAAACAACTAAAAACTAAAATATATTTTGATGAACGTTTTAGTTTTAAATTATTTATTTAATGCTTAATTATTTATAAAACGTATAATTATAATACGTTCTATTTATTAATTTGTTTCAAAACGTATTATGTGAATACGTTTTATTCTAATTTAACAGTAAAACATATTCCGAGAATACGTTTTACACTTCATAATACGCCCTTTTTATTTTTGTCTATATTTTGTTTTTGTTTTTGTTTTTGTCCATTTAATTTTTTTTATTTTTGTTTAAATAAATAAATCCTAAAAACTAGTCACTTTATTTTATAATATTGTTGTGCTTCTTTACTTTCAATTTCTTAAGAATTGAAATATTTACTTTATTTTATAATAGGCATGCACTTTATTTACTTTACTTTATACTATAAGTCTGTGGTAATTTTATTTATATTATTTTGTAAAGTATGTCGCCTTTACATGAATGTATGATATTTATTGGAAAAAAGTATATAACCGTTTCACCGTTTAGTCATCATAACAAGTCTTACTATCATTATAATATTACATTAGTGTTGACATAAATTATATGTATAGTATAAGGGTTTCTGATTTTAAAGTTATCTGAAGTAAAAATCAAGAGATAATTAAATTTTATGTGAGTTTAATAAAATAATACATTGTGGTTGTCGCTCATGTGTATATTATGTAAAATTTTATGTTATTTACCATCATTCCTCGCAATATTATTAGATTTTGTACCTCTTAATTTTTCATGTATTTAAATTCCCTCAATCAAATGTCTCGATTTTATTTTTTTATTTTAACTAAATGCCTATAAAAATTGCTTAGGCCGCCAGAATTGTTCAACTCTTGGGAGTCTCAAATACAATACAGAGGATTTTTTTTTTAATTATTATTATAACTTTCTGAATATTTATTGCTTGTTCAAATATTATTCAATAATTCATATCTATGATCTATCTCAGTTCCATAGGTGGATCACTGATTCATAGTTCTATTATGAGCTAGCCGTTTAAAAAAATAAAAATAAAAATGTTATG